TTTAGTTTGGGTCCATCTCTAAAAAAAATCAATATATTTCCAAAGCAATTAGGTTAGGGACAAATCACCCCTTGCATTGCTGCGGGCACAGAGGCTGTGACCACAGCCAGACCAACAAGGTTTCACTGCACAGGGGCTGTGACAGGATCTGAGCAGTGTATGCTGAGGTCTGCATCCCAATACTGAGAAGTCCCTAATAAGTTCTCAAGCAGCAATTTTCTTACTTTGCCTATCGTAAATTTCTGTTATTGATGGAAATATGTTTTTAGTCAGTTTGTGTATGTACAGAGAAATTAACATTTACCAACATTTACGTATATAAATCGAACCCTTCCAAGTTATGGAGCTGGTATTTGGGGTGAAGGTAGGCTGGGGGGGGGGAGGGCACAGAGGGTCTGCGTTTAGGACCATTATATGTTAACAAAAACCATCAGCAGTAGAGTGTTAGCATATTAAATAGACATACACTTCCATATGGAAAGAATAAGAACTTAAATATTCCCCATTGACTCAGCAAAATGTGTATTTTCTGAAAGAATTATTTTGGTGGGGAGGGGGAAGAGACCACACACAGTGCTACTTGTGTATATTTTTGTATATTCCTATTTCATATCAGTCTTTGCGCTCTGAAAAGTGAGATGTATGAATGGAAGAATAAACAGCAAGAACCATTCCTTGAGTTATTCACACTTTTGTTTTAATGAATATCCATTTTCACATTTTAATTTTGCTGTATCCAATTAATTAGGGTGAAATTGGAGAAACAGGATTTCCAGGAGAACTTGGACCAATAGGAATCAAAGGACAAAGGGCAAGCACCTTTTTATGAATATTGATTTGTCTTGAGATTGGCTTGTTGTTAATGCAGAAATCACATGTAATTTTTCCTGCCCAGGTGATAGAAATCTGTTTTAAATGGATATCTTTTAACATGCTGAATTTATGTGTATTACATCTGTTGTAAGCACAATAGTCCAGATCCCGCACTCTGTTGCAGTTGCTTTGTACACCACTAGCACGTCTAAAACTGGTGTAGCCGGCTATGGAAGATCAACCTAGTGCAAGAGGCGGCCTCCAGTGGCCTATAGCTGGATGACATGTCTGTCTCTTCTTACCAGTGTAATGGGCCACTACCTTACAATATGTGCTAACTACTTATGCTGAACAATCTGTTCCGCCATGCAATATCTGTGACACTGAGAATAGCTTTCCCAGACCTGAAGAAGAGCTCTGTGTGGCTTGAAAGCTCGTCTCTCTCACCAAGAGAAGTTGGTCCAGTAAAAGATATTACCTCGCCCACCTTCTCTGTCTTTGGACATAGAACTAGATAAATTCATGGAGCATAGGTCTATCAATGGCTATTAGCCAGGATTGGCAGGAATTATGTCTCTAGCCTCCGTTTGCCAGAAGCTGGGAATGGGGGATGGGATGAATCACTTGATAATTACCTGTTCTGTTCATTCCCTCTGGGGCACCTGGCATTGGCCACTGCCAGAAGTCCAAATACTGGGCTAGATGGACCATTGGCCTGACCCAGTTTAGCCGTTTTCTTGTTCTTATGACCAATGGCAACCTGAATAATTTACACTGGAAGACTGGTGTAGCACAGAGCTGGCTCCAAGTCAGGGAAACACAACGTCTAATTATTTTATAGAAATCCTGTGGAGGGCTAATGGTATGGGGAAGTTGGTGAAGTGGGCGGGGGCATATTTTGTTGCTGTTTTTACTGGCTGAAACATGAACATTTCTTATTGTATTATGCTCCTTTTCAATAGTAAGTTTAATTTTTTCAGGGTTGCTAGAGCTCATATAAGTGATTTTTAGATTTTAAATTGTAATTATAAATGAGTTACTTCAGAGTTACTAGTTTGAAAGAATCTGATAGATGGCTAAGTCTTCTTCATTTAATAGGCCAAGGTAAACAAAACACTTCTTTTGGGGCAATTGTTTCCTGTTTAACTGTGTTTTCAGCTCCTCTGACAAAGGAAGGGCAAAGTTGTAGTAGTAGTTTTGTATTATAAGTTAGCCATGCAAATTGCTAACCTTTTTCAACTCTTGTTTTTGTAGTTATCACACTATGACTTGTTTTTTTCCTCACTTCAGGCTGATCTTGCTCCCTCTGAAATCAGAGACTTTTGCCTTTAACTTCAATGGGAGCTGGATTGGGTCCTCGTCGTCGTCGTCGTCTTTTTTTTTTTGTACATGTAAAATGTTATTGGTTAGATATTACACGTGACATGGTGCCCATTATCCATTAATTTCTAACACAGGGTAAATTTTTCAAAAGCACCTTAGTGATTTAGGAACCTCAGTTCCATTGAAAGTGAGTGAAACCTTATACCCCCAAAGAACTTAGAGCCTTATGACAATTTTGCCAACAGACGTTAATAAACCAGGAGAGGCAGCATGCCATTGGGGTTATAAATGTATACGTTGTGCTACGGTAGTTTAATTGGTAGCACTCTCACTTCTGGACCAGAAGAAGCTTTTCTGAAATACAGTCAGTTCCCTTGCCAAGGGTCAGGTCCTTGGTCATGCTAAGGTCACTGTCCGCTGCTGGAGCTATGCAATATGACCTTAAAATGGTATTACAATGGTGTGCCAGCATGGGAGGAGAACCTTGGACCAACATAGCTAAGAACATAAGAATGGCCATACTGGGTCAGACCAAAGGTCCATCCAGCCCAGCATCCTCTCTACCGACAGTGGCCAATGCCAGGTGCCCCAGAGGGGGTGAATCTAACAGGCAATGATCAAGTGATCTCTCTCCTGCCATCCATCTCCACCCTCTGACAAACAGAGGCTAGAGACACCATTCCTTACCCATTCTGGCTAATAGCCATTAATGGACTTAACCTCTATGAATTTATCTAGTTCTCTTTTAAATCCTGTTGTAGTCCTAGCCTTCACAACCTCCTTAGGCAAGGAGTTCCACAGGTTGACCGTGCGCTGTATGAAGAAGAACTTCCTTTTATTTGTTTTAAACCTGCTGCCCATTAATTTCATTTGGTGGCTCCTAGTTCTTATATTATGGGAACAAGTAAATAACTTTTTCCTTATTCACTTTCTCCAAACCACTCATGATTTTATATACCTCTATCATATCCCCCCTTAGTCTCCACCTCTTTTTCCAAGCTGAAAAGTCCTTGCCTCTTTAATCTGTCCTCATATGGGACCCGTTCCAAAGCCCTAATCATTTTAGTTCCTCTTTTCTGAACTTTTTTTTAATGCCAGTATATCTTTTTTGAGATGAGACGACCACATCTGTACGCAGTATTTAAGATGTGGGCGTACCATGGATTTATAGAAGGGAAATCCATCTTATTCTCTATCCCTTTTTTAATGATTCCTAACATCCTGTTTGCTTTTTTGACTGTCACTGCACACTGCGTGGATGTCTTCAGAGAACTATCCACGATAACTCCAAGATCTGTTTCCTGATTAGTTGTAGCTAAATTAGCCCCCATCATATTGTATGTATAGTTGGGGTTATTTTTTCAAATGTGCATTACTTAACATTTATCCACATTAAATTTCATTTGCCATTTTATTGCCTAATCACTTCGTTTTGTGAGATCTTTTTGAAGTTCTTCAGTCTGCTTTGGTCTTAACTATCTTGAGCAGTTTAGTATCGTCTGCAAACTTTGCCACCTCACTGTTTGCCCCTTTCTCCAGATCATTTATGAATAAGTTGAATAGGATTGGTCCTAGGACTGATCCTTGGGGAACACCACTAGTTACCCCTCTCCATTCTGAAAATTTACCATTTATTCCTGCCCTTTGTTCCCTGTCTTTTTAACCAGTTCTCAATCCATGAAAAGATCTTCCTTCTTATCCGATGACAACTTAATTTACGTAAGAGCCTTTGGTGAGGGACCTTTCTGGAAATCTAAGTACACTATGTCCACCTGATCCCTCTTGTCCACATGTTTGTTGACCCCTTCAAAGAACTCTAATAGATTAGTAAGACATGATTTCCCTTTACAGAAACCATATTGACTTTTACCCAACAAGTTATGTTCTTCTATGTGTCTGACAATTTTATTCTTTACTATTGTTTCAACTAATTTGCCTGGTACTGACATTAGACTTACCGATCTGTAATTGCTGGGATCACCTCTAGAGCCCTTCTAAAATATTGGCGTTACATTAGCTATCTTAAAGTCACTGGCTACAGAAGCCGATTTAAAGGACAGGTTACAAACCATAGTTAATAATTCCACAATTTCACATTTGAGTTCTTTCAGAACTCTTGGGTGAATGCCATCTGGTCCTGGGGACTTATTACTGTTAAGTTTATCAATTAATTCCAAAACCACCTTTAGTGACACTTCAATCTGTGACAGTTCCTCAGATTTGTCACCTACAAAGGACAGGTCAGGTTTGGGAATCTCCCTATCATCCTCAGCCGTGAAGATTGAAGCAAAGAATTCATTTAGTTTCTCTGCAATGACTTTATTGTCTTTAAGTGCTCCTTTTGTATCTCGATTGTCCAGGGGCCCCACTGGTTGTTTAGCAGGTTTCCTGCTTCTGATGTAATTAAAAAACATTTTGTTGTTATCTTTTGAGTTTTTAGCTAACTGTTCTTCAAACTCCTTTTTGGAATTTCTTATTACATTTTTACACTTAATTTGGCAGTGTTTATGCTCCTTTCTATTTACCTCAGTAGGATTTGACTTCCACTTTTTAGAAGATGCCTTTTTATCTCTCTCTGCTTCTTTTACATGGTTGTTAAGCCACGGTGGCTCTTTTTATTTAGTTCTTTTACAGCGTTTTTTAATTTGGGGTATACATTTAAGTTGGGCCTCTATTATGGTGTCTTTGAAATCCCTGAAAGCTGCATGGACACTTTTTACTCTAGTCACTGTACCTTTTTAATTTCTGTTTAACTAACCTCCTCATTTTTGCATACTTCCCCTTTCTGAAATTAAATGCCATGGTGTTGGGCTGTTAAGGTGTTCTTCCCACCACAGGAAGGTTAAATGTTATTATATTATGGTCACTATTTCCAAGCGGTCCTGTTATAGTGGCCTCTTGGACCAGATTCTGCGCTCCACTCAGGACTAAATCAAGAATTGCCTCTTCCCTTGAGGGTTCCTGTACCAGCTGCTCCAAGAAGCGGTCATTTAAAGTATCGAGAAAATTTGTCTCTGCCTTTCTTCCTGAGGTGACATGTACCCAGTCAATATGGGGATAATTGAAATCCCCCACTATTATTGAGTTTTTTATTTTGATACCCTCTCTAATGTCCCGTAGCATTTCATCATCACTATCACTGTCCTGGTCAGGTGGTCGATAAGAATATAACTGTAGGGATCTATAGTATTAGAACATGGAATTACTATCCATAGAGATTCTATGGAACATGTGGATTCATTTAAGATTTTTACTTCATTTGATTCTACATTTTCTTTCACATATAATGCCACTCCTTCCTCCCCTCCCCCAACCTGCTCTGTCCTTCCGATATATTTCGTACCCCAGAATGATTTTGTCCCATTGATTGATTGTCCCCACTCCACCAGGTTTCTGTGATGTCTATTATATCAATATCCTCCTTTAACACAAGGCATTCTAGTTCACCCATCTTATTATTTAGACTTCTGGCATTTCTGTACAAGCACTTGAAAAACGTGTCACTGTTTATTTGTCTGCCCTTTTCTGATGTCAGATTCTTTTTTTATTTGACTGTTTCTCGTCTGATCTGGCCCATACTTTATCCTCTTCCATCCTCTCCTCCTGACTAGAACCTAGAGAATCTCTATCAATAGACTCTCCTCTAAGAGAAGTCTCTGTCCGATCCACGTGCTCTGCTGCAGCAATCGGCTTTCCCCCGTCTCTTAGTTTAAAAGCTGCTTTGCAACCTTTTCAATGTTAAGTGCCAGCAATTTGGATCCACCTTGGTTTAGATGGAGCCCATCCTTCCTGTATAGGCTCCCCCTATCCCCAAAGTTTCCCCAGTTCCTAATAAATCTGAACCCCTCCTCTCTACACCATCGTCTCAGCCACACATTGAGACTCTGAAGCTGGCTTTACTTCCGCTGCACTCGCCCCCCTGGTGCAGAGGTTGTGTCAGGGATGGTTGAAATTGTTTAGGGGTGCATAGCTAGGGATCAAGGGAGTGGGACACTTATGTAGCACTTCCTATCCAAGGATATCAAAGCACTTTACAAATCTGAATGAATTTAGCCTCAGTGTCTTTGTGAGGTGCAGGCAGGCAAGTGTTGTTGTTCCCATTTTACCATGAGGAAACTGAGTCACAGAGAAGTTAAGTGACTTTCCCAAGGTTACACAAAGAGTCCACAGTAGAGGTGGGAGTAGAATCCCTGTCTCCTGAGTCACTGTGGAGGAAGCATTGCTAGCATTCAGCTGAACCACCCAAAGAGAAAGCAGTAGTATGCTGCCATCCTATTTTTTTTCTTTAAAAATGGTTATATGTGAAAATACATAGGGCCTGATTCTCTTCTCACCCAGCTATAAATCAGGAGTATATCCATTGAATTGAATGGAGTTAAACTGGTGTAAAACTGGCATTAATGAAATGGAGAACTGGGCCCTAGAGTAGAGAAGTATGCAATACTATCATAACTGCTGTATATACCATTTGTAGATTGTCTGCCTGTCTAATTTATGCCAATGTTTCCAGGGTCCTCCAGGTCCTCCTGGTCCAGAGGGATTTCCAGGGGACAAGGGATTTCCAGGACCCAGGGTATGAATTGACCACGTAAAGTGTATGTAATTTTATTTGCATGAAAAGGTACTCCCTTTAAATTTGAAGGTGAGGAGAAGTGATTTTTTTCCTGTCTCGGGCTACAGTATGTTTTCAATAGTCTAAATCATTAAGACACTCACATTTTGGGGTGCCGGAGGTAGGTATATTGTAATCTGCTTGGTGATGTCACTTAGAAAATGCTAATTCTGTATTTTCACCAGCAATATGACAATAGGTTTGTGTGTTTGTTTGTATATCAAATTATGTTACAGTATTTGAACTAAAATTCTAAGGGTCAGATTTTAGGGAAAAAAAAGACCCAAAGTCTATGCATGTAACTGTGTGTCTAAATTCTCACTCTACTGCAACTGAGAGCACAAATTGGGTATTTGCATGTGCAAATCACTATTTAGATGCCCAAATCTAATTTTTGCATGCAAATCTAGACAACTCTTTAAATGCCTAATTGTACTTAAAATGTAGCTGCAACCTTTTCATTTGGACCTTGGGCCTCGCCTGAAAACTGGCAATTAAAGAACAACACATGTGTCGCAATATTTTTTAAAAATTAGGAACGTATATCTGGCTTTTGGAATTTTTTCTAGCCATGTCTGAAGTTTGCAGCTTACCACTGTTTTCTGATAGTTTTGTAATATCAGGCTGGAATTAAAAGATCCCAA